TATATATATATATATATTTATATATATAATTTATATATATATTTATATATATACTGTTTATAATTATGTATAAATATATATATATATATGTATATGAATATGTATTACATTGTATGTAGATACAGAAATGAGTATATCAAACTTTATGTATTTTTGTATGCATTTTATATGTAGATAGATACGATATTATATATTATAAATATAATATATGTAATATATATGTTATATACTTAACATACAATTATATATATATATATATATTTTATTATATTCTACGCTTTAATTTGATGGTCAACCCAACGAACAAATCAACAAAATAATTAAACGCTATGTAAATACACCAACATAAATAATTAAATAAAATAAACAAATTAAATAAATTGAGTAATTAAATAAATTAAGTAAATTAAATTAAAATGTAAATAGATTAAAAATAAATATGCAGCAAACATAAAAACAAAGAAAAGACGAAAGTCAGGCATCAATGCAGAACTACAAACAAATAAAAAAAATAAAAATAAATAAAAATAAATAAAAAGAAGATATGCATGCATGCAATAAACGAGAGAAAGTAAGCAAAGCGCAGAGAGAGAGAGAGAAAGACAGAGAAATAAAATAAATAAATAAATAAATAATAAACATACTTATATATAAATAAATAAATATATAAAGATAAATAAAGAGAGAGAGAGAGAAATAGAGAGAAAGAGCGAGAGACAGAACCAAACAAAAAAACAAAAAAACAAACAGAGAGAGAGTTATAAAGAAGTAAATAAATAAATAAATAAAGAGATGAACAGAACAAAACAAAGTAAATTAATTATAAACCTCACGTCAGCACTTTCTTTGATTTGCGTCGCTTGCGTTTAAACTGCGGTATGAAATGTCTGTTTTTATTTTTAATTTGTTTTTGCTGTCTCCTTTTTGTTTGTTGTTTCTTTGCTTTTCTTTTCCGCACTTCGCGTCTGCTTCTTTTGCTGTTCAAAGAACAGCTCGACAAAAATATATTTGCAGCAGCAGCAGCAGCACCAGCAGCAGCAGCAGCAGCACCGCTAGCAGCAGATGCAGCAGATGCAGCAGAGCCCCTAAGACACCCCAAAAAACAATCTCCTGTCAGCCGCTTGCTCTTCTTTACTCTTTCCCTTTGCTGCTTCTCTGTAGCAGCAGCAGCAGCAGCAGCATCAACTGGTGTTGTTGCTGCTGCTGGTACAGCAGCAGCAGTTTGGCTGTCTATGCTGCTGCTGAGGAGGCATTTCTGCTGCTGCTCTTGCTGCTGCTGCTGTTGTTGCTGCTGCTGGTCTACAACAACCCTAAGAAGGCTGTTTCGTTCTCCTGCATTATCTGACAGCGTTTGCTGCTGCTGCTGCTGCTTCTGCAGCTGCTGCCCAGAAGCAGCAGCAGCATCAGCAGCAAGAGCAGGAGCAGCAGAAGCAGCAGCAGCAGCAGGAGACGTGCAAACACTACGCACAAAAGCAGTAGCTATTAGAGCTACACAGCGGCTGCAATCCCTCATAAGCAGCTGACATAAACAACGAAGATGAGTCTCGCAAGAAAAGGAAGGAGGTAAATGAGAAAATAAAACGGCTGTCGCGATCCCAGTCAGCGTACCCCACAGTCTGCTGTTTGTTACATTCAGCTTCAAACCTGTACATACACCTCAATAATATAATATAATATTATTATATTTAATAGTTCTATTTTAATAGTCATATTAATACTACTAGTAATATTCATATTAATATTAATTCTTATCACTTCAAAAAGAAAAAAAGCATAGTATAAATATGAATATCGGCTAACCGTTATTATATTATTATGTATTGTTATTTATTTTGCTGTTTTTGTTTGTTTAATGCACAACGCATATAGACAATAAATAATCATATTATTATTTTAATCAGCACGAGCGATGAACACTAGAGTTTAGGGTTTATTATTAGGGTTTATTATTAGGGTTTACTATTAGGGTTTATTAGGGTTTTTAATTAGGGTTTTTCAGGGTTTTTATTTAGGGTTTATTAGGATTAATAATTAGGGTTTATCAGAGTTTATAATTAGGGTTTATTAAGGTTTACTGCTAGGGTTTACTATTAGGGTTTTGAGAGAGTTTGAAAGATAAAGAGACATAAGATATATCTATCTAAAGGGAATTTTAGGGTGTATAATAAGGGTTTGGATTAGGGTTTGTAATTAGGGTTTAGATGAGGGTTTAGATGAGGGTTTACTTTGCAGATCTTGAGGCCTATCTTGCATAAGAAGCCAAACAGTTTGAAAGATGAAGACGCATGTCCACATGAAGACTTGACCAATAAGCCCAAACTCGGGATGAAAAGTTGAGTGTACATCTTTAGGATTAGCGAAAAGAAAGAAAGAAGAAAAGCAAAGAAAGAATATCCAGCATAACATAGAAGAATAGCTATCCGTTGTTAACATCGCACCATAGATGCATATACACCCCAATAATGTCCCTATACACCTGCTTCCAGCTGTATGCACTGTCCCTTCATACGTCCATCGTACACTACTCACAAATCCTAATATAAGCCAAGAAGAGACTGGCATTACCGCGCTTTCTTTGTCTATAGACCCTGCACCAAACATTTGCAAAAAATAATGATATATAGATATAGAGACTTTTTGCTTAATAATAATAATAATAATAATAATAATAATAATAATAATCATAATAATAATAATAATAATAATACTATAATAATAATAATAATAATAATATAATAGTAGTAGTAGTAGTAGGAATAATAATAAAAATAGTAATAGTAGTGGTGATAGAATGTGTCTATATATATATATATATTATATATATATAATATACATGCATAAATATAGAAATAGCAACAGCAGCACCATCAGTAGCAACAGCATCAGCAACAGCAACAGCAACAGCAACAGCATCAGCAACAGCAACAGCATCAGCATCAGCAACAGCATCAGCAACAGCAGAAATAACAGCAGCAGCAGCAGCAGCAACAGCAGCAGCAGCAACAGCAGCAGCAGCAGGAGGAGGAGGAAGTATGTATATGAATCTTACCTACTAGCCAGAGAGTAATCTCTTCATCAGCAAATACGCCAACAGCATAAAGAGCGATGATGCCCGTGACGAATTTCATACAGTGAACAAAATCTATATCTCTAAAAAGAGAAGCAAAAGAAGAAGAAGAAGAAGAAGAAGAAGAAGAAGAAGATGATGATGATGATGAAGAAGAAGAAGAAGATGATGATGATGAACATAAAGACGATAGTAAATTATATAATCCTCGCAGACTCCGCGTTAATTGTAATATCATCACAGTGCCGCTCATAAACACCATCCGAACATTCAACCAAAAACCTGAAGACAAACAAAATAAATATATTTTTAATGTCTATCTAATTTATTTAATTTAATTTAATTATTCTAATCTAATTTTATTTAGTTAATTTTATTTAATTTAATGGATGCAGTAATGTACGATAATACAAATAAAATAATGTACTAATATATATATAATTTTATTATATTAATATAATAAAATAATATTAATATAATTAATGTATCGAGAAAAGCATAAAACGATATAATATTAATTCTACTTCGTATAATAAATCAAATAAACAAATATAAAAATAATTAAAAATTATATATAGAAAAACAACTAAAGAAAAATTATATCGATGCAACAATAAAATGTAATTATATAGAACATAAAAAATATATAATAAAATAGCACAATAAAAAACATCAACAATACTAAAAAAGAAACACAACTAGGAAAAGGAAACAGTAAACCCTAAACCCTAAACCCTAAACCCTAAACCCCAGACCCTATTCCCTAATCCCTGACAGCTAACAAGCAAGACCGCAGTAGCAGCAACAGCAGCAGCATCAACAGCAGCAGCAGCAGCAACAGCAGCAGCAACAGTAGCAGCAGCTGCAGCAGCAGCAGCACCAGTGGGGTGTACGTACGGCTCCAAGAGGGAGACATATTAGCAAATAGGAAGTCTTCAACAGCAGCAGAGAAAGCTGCTACGTCTTTACAAGTTATCTGGATTAGCGAAACAACAAGCATAGTTAGTTTTAATTGCTGCTGCAGTGCTGCTGTCTCTTCTCCTTCTTGCTGCTGCTTCTCATATGATTTCAAAGTATACCAATTCTTGTCGCTGCGATCAGTAGCACGCCGCTGCCGCCGCTGCTGCTGCTGCCGCTGCTGCTGCTGCTGCGAACGAGCATGTGTGGGGTCTGGGATCGTCTTCGGGATCCGCACGACATCCGCCATAGCCTTCTTTATTTTTCTTTTCTCTTGCTGTCTTCGTTTTTTTTCAGCTGCGTCTTCTTCTTTTGCTGCTCTTCTTAATCTTAACGCCCGCAGCAACACAGGTAGCCTCCCTACAGCAGCAGCAGCAGCAGCAGCAGCAGCGGCAGCAGCAGCAGCGGCAGCAGATGCACCACCGCCCACCCCACCTCCACCGTTCCCCACACTGGGATCGGGATCGGGATCGGGATCGTTTCTAAAGCCGTCTCCCTCGGGGGCACAGACGCTTCCCTGATCCAGCAGCGCCAGCAGCAGCCCCACTTCCGTTGAGGGGCTAGCAGAAACAGCAGTATCTGCTGCTGCTATTCCTTGTGCTGCTGCTGCTGCAGCAGCAGCAGCAGATGCTGCTCTTCCTGCATCGCACCTCTGCTGCTGCTTCTCCCATAGAGGCTGTTCTGCTGTTGTCTCTTCTCCTATAGACAAGCTGCTGCCGCACACTGAACCATCAACTCCTGCTGCTGCTGCTGCTGGAGATGCAGCATAGGATCCGCCTCGGATGCTCCCAACGGGGAGAAACAAAGGCCTCTGGTCTGCTGCTGCTGCTGCTGCTGAGCTGTGACGTCCTTGCCACCCTTGCTGCTGCTGCTGCTGCTGCTGCTGCTGTCTTTCTGCTGCACCGCTGCTTCTACTGGAAGCGACGGGCAGAAAGAGTTGGGGTCTGCTGCTGTCAATTTGCTGCTGCTGCACTGCATGGATGTCTGTTTCTTCCGCCCAGCTTGCTGCATCTGCTGCTTCTGCTGCTGAGAAGAGACTTGGGTCCTCAAGCATATCCCCTGAAGCAGCAGCAGCAGCAGCAGCAGCATCATGATCTATGAGGGAAGGCCCGTGAGAAGACTGTATGTCTATACTTGGCAGCTGCAGCAAGGGCCTCCCTCCTCCTAAGCCTAAGAGAGCAACACCAGGAGAATTGATGTTAATAGAGCGGCTGCTCCCCCTGCTCCTGCTGCTGCTGCTGCTGCTGCAGCTGCTGCTGTCTCTTGCTTCTCTTAAAGCTCTCCTGCTTCTGCTGCTTTTGTCTCTTCTATTACTCGCCTTCACCGTTCTTTTGCTGCGGGCCTTCCACATTGCTGGCAGCAGCTTCAGCCGCCGGAAAGGAGACAAGCGCTGCTGCCGCTGCTGCTGCTGCTGCTGCTGCTGCATGATTCCCGCTGGTGCTGCTGATGATTCTTCTTCTTCTGCTGCTGCTGCTTCTGCTGCTGTTGTTGCGGTTGCTGCTGTTGCTGCAGCTGCACCTAAGGCCTCCGGCGGTGTATGCTTGCGTTGTGAATATCTGCTGCTGATATTAGCTTGTGCTTCTTCTTCTTCTTCTGCTGCTGCTGCTGCAGTTTTTGCTGCTGCTGCTGCTGCTGTTTGCTGCTGGTCGTTGTTTGCGTTTTTCCGTTTCTGTTTGCTGCTGCTGTTGCTGCTGCTGCTGAGAGGTTTGAGAGCGCCAGTTGTGTGCAGCAGAGATTGGAGATTTGCTGCTAGCTGCAAGCTTCTTGATTGCTGCTGCAGATAAGCTGTTCCTGAAGAAGCATTATTCTTATTTATTGAAGCCCCCTCGAGAGCTTCTCTTAACTCCTGCAATTGTCTTGCTGCTTCTTTTGCTTTATCACGAGAAGAAGCAAAGAAGAAGAGATAGAAAGGGCTTACAGGGAGAGCAGCAGCAGCAACAAAGCATATCTTTAATGCAAGGTGTATAGACACTTGAACTTCCGATATAGTTGGTAGTAATGCTGCTGCTCTTCTTGCTGCTGCAGCATTAAGCGCATGTACAGTTAAACATGTCTGCTTCGTAGCTCCAACGAGATGCATTAACATCTGCAACAAAGCTGTATAAAGTTTTGCTAATTCAGGCATAGGATTGATGCCTAAAGAAGATAAAGATAATAGATACGGCTCTCGTCCGCTCTCTACGATCCTCCCTCTTAAGGTGTATTGACACCCCAATACCTCCAGCAAAGGCCCTGCTGCTGCAGCAAGCTTATCTGCTGCTGCTGCTAATTCCTTCTTAGAAGAAGCAAACAAACAAATACTTCCTCGGCTGCTGCACTCTGCATAACAAACAAACAAAACACAAATATATATACATATTTTCTATCTCTATTCAGCAATATATACATATATATATTATATATATTAAATTATATAAATATTTTATTTACATCAAGACAACTGCGAGAACACCGCAGTGAAGATGAACGATTGATAAGCTTTAGGGTTTAGGGTTTAGGGTTTAGGGTTTAGGGTTTAGGGTTTCGTACGTAGAGTATGTGAGAGAGCCTCTAATGCATCAAGAAGCGCCTTGAAGACGTCCGCAAGAAGCATGATAATATCCTTGATTTGCTTTCGTGCTTTTTTTCTTTGAGAAGTATAAGGGGGTGTAATAATTTGAATAGCAAATAAAGTCAGCCCAGCTAATGCAAATAAGAGAGAATAAGTTAAATAATTAAATAGATATTGAATACCGCTGTACATACACCCTAGAGATTCTTGCATGTGCTGCAGCTTCAATAACATGCAGCAAGTGTTATACGGTATAAACACTAGCACAACCTTACCGAGGTGAGAAGAATCAATACGCTCTTTAAAAGGATAAACAGAATAAAGTAATGGTACTCGAAGTATAACAACCCAACTAAAAAGAACAGTTATAACTGCAAGAGCTGTACATACACCTAAAACATTCCCTCCACCTATATATAAAGCTGAGAACGATATCGCTGTAAATAAACTCGCAAGCAATATTGATAGAACCCAAACCCATGTTGCACTGTATAACGAAGAGCTATATTCAGGTAATAGAGTTGAAGACAGACAGAATGTGAGCAGCAAGAAGTTCGCTCCTACGTAGCCCTTTATAGATAAACGCAAGCTGCAGTGTAGTGCTATTATCATTAAGAGAGACAATTTAGAAGCACGCAGCAGCCTATCCCAAAGAGACAGTTTCAAATTCAATAAAGCAGCAGAACAAAACAATAAAAATGAAGACTTATAACGCATGCAACATCCTTTCTTGCTCCTGCTGCTCCTGCTGCTGCTGCTGCTGTTGCTGTTGCTGCTCATAATGCTGCTGTTGCTGCTGTTGCTGCTGTTGCTGCTGTTGCTGCACCGACGCTGGCTGCTGCTGCTGCTGTTAAACGGGCTCCTAGAAATAGGTAAAGGGCTCCCTCGGAAGCTTGTATCGATACGTGGCTTCCTGCTGCTGCTGTTGCTGCTGCACCGCAGCAGCAAACTGCTGCTCCTGCTCATCCCCCGACCTATGCTGAACAGACGAGTTGCATGCAGAGGGGAAGACGAACCCAAACCACTGCCCCCAACAGCAGTTTGCTGCTGCTGCTGCTGCTGAGTCTCATCCTGCTGATGTGGATGTTGCTGAAGCTCCTGCAGCTGCTGTTGCTGCTGCTGATGTTGTTGCTGCTGCATGTGTTGTTGTTCCCGTTCGTGTTGCTGCTGCTCTTGCTGCTCTTGCTGCTGCTGTTGCTGCGGTTGCTGCGGTTGCTGCTGCTGCTGCTGCTGCTGCTGCTGCAGGCCTATGTCGGGGTGTCTAGACACCTCAAGGGAAGCCCCAGATCTTTTCGTTAGCAGCCCCTCCATAGCTGTCTTTCTGTTAGCAGCAGCAGACGAGATGAAGTAGATTTGCTGCCGTCATGCTGCGCAGCTGGGGTGTATATGCAGCTGCTGTCGCTGCAGCAGCAAAATAAGGGAGATGAGAGCATATAGAAAGACAAAGCAAGAAAATTGGTTGAGTTTAACTAGCAGAAAGAGAGACAACAACAAGAAAAACAACAGGGACTCAACCGGTGGTCCTCATGCTGCTGCTGCTGTTGCTGCTGCTGCTGCTGCTGCTGCTGCTGCTGTTGCTGAAGCAACAACGGAGGCAGCAGAAAACCCCTACTGGAAGCAAGAAAAGATGATAAAGAGTAAAATATAAATGCAAAGAAGACAAATTATTAAAACCAGCGTAAACACTAAACCCTAGACCCTAAACCCTACACCAACAGCAGCAGCAGCAGCAGCAGCAGCAGCAAACCCTCGATTGCTGGGGCCTGCTGCTGCTGCAGGCCGCAGCAGCAGCAGCAGCAGCAGGTAAATGTATCTGTGTGTTGTTTCCTCTCTGTTCTCCCAAATAACAAACAAATGAATAAAGATTATTAATAAACAGCAAACGCTAAACACAAACAAACAGCAACGCACACCAGACCACTGGACCTCCGCTGCAGCAGCAGCAGCAGCAGCAACAGCAGCAGCAGCAGCAGCAGCGGGACAGTCTCCTCTCTAGTTCGCGCTCAGTGTTTGTCTTTTACTACACTCAATATTATTAAAGTCAGACGCCAGACACCCGCACACATTTAAAAACCCAAATAATTAGGGTTTAGGGTCTAGGGTTTAGGGTTTAGGGGGTAGTAGTGTTCAGCGTCTTGGGCGTAGTTTCAACCGTATAGGTCTTACAGTTTCCTTATATTGTTTCATCCTTAGGGTTTAGGGTTTAGGGGTTAGGGTTTAGGGTTTAGGGTTTAGGGTTTTATTTCTGTATTGAGACCACCGCAGCGCATACACCCGAAATGCAGCAACAAACAAAAAGCAGAGGGCTCGAACGACTGCAAAAATCAGCACACAGCAACTGTCTATATCAAGCAGCAGCAGCAGCAGCAAGCAGCAGCAGCAGCAAGCAGCAGCTGCTGCTGCAGTTGCTGCTGCTGTTGCAGCAAAATAAGAGAGCCCAGGGGAAGCAACAGCAGACCCCGTGGGGGAGGAGCAGCTGCAGGGCACGCTGCAGCAGCAACAGCAGCAGCAGCAGTAGCAACAGCAGCAGCAACAGCAGCAGCAGCAACAGCGGAGCAGATGGTGCAGCATTCGCCAGCTTTAAGGAGGGCCTCTTGCTGAGTAGATGCCCAGCAAAACTCTAAACCCTAAACCCTAATCCCGCAGCTGTAAACCCTAAACCCTCACTGTAAACCCTAAACCCTCAGCTGTAAACCCTAAACCCTCAGCTGTAAACCTTAAACCCTAATCCCGCAGCTGTAAATCCTAAACCCTCAGCTGTAAACCCTAAACCCTCAGCTGTAAACCTTAAACCCTAATCCCTCAGCTGTAAACCCCAAACCGTAAACCCTCAACTGTAAACCCTAAACCCTAAACCCTAAACCCTTAGCTTAGCTAGGAGATATAATAGAGGATAAATATATAAATAATAATATATCTATATATATGTATATTATGCATGCATTTAAATATTTAAATTAATAAATTATTTGTTTATTGTAAATTCGCAGAAAAAGCAGCAAAACAAACGCAAATCCCTCAGACCTTCTCCAGAAACCCCTTTATATATATAATATATAAATATATAATATATATATATTTATATATATATATTTATATATAAATATATA